TAGTAAATGAGTTATATATATATAGTTATATATATATATATATATATACATATACATTATATACATATATTGGATAAATGTAAATATGCAGCTAAAAAAGTTTAATAGTAAATAGCAGAATAGATGATTATTAAAATAACTATTTGCGTTAAAAATATTGAGCTTTTTTTTATGTTTAAATTTTATTGAATTGTTTTTACACACAAAAAAAACTGTATATTGAATATAACTGTACGCAGCGGATCTTGAAACAATGCATATTTCTAATTTTTTATACTGACAGCAACAACTAATTATGGAACTGAATGCCCACCGGCAGCCCAACTGATAACAGTAACTTAATGAAATCATAGTCATTGGCATTCGTACGAGTCTACACAATCGGTATCAAGCAATATCTCAGCGTGTACAAGTTACTCCACTTTAATTTATTTTATCAGTAAAGAGACCAGGTTCGGCACCAACATTTTAAAGCAACTATTAGAAATTGTTGAAGTAAGATTTATGAAAACGCTAATGGGCGTCATTAGCACTTCGGCACCTTAATGTAAAGAACTTCATTTAAAATATAAAGTTCCATATTAAAACTATCTTATTAAAGAATTCTAGTATAAATTAGGTTTTAATTGAACACCCGCAACCGCTACTGCCAAAATTAAAAAACGAAATTATCACTGCAAAAATTTAACAATAACGTTGGTGTATTATCTTAACAGAATACTTCAAAATAAACGTATAAAAGAAAAAATGTACAAGTTCTCGACTTTTATCACAACTAAGTATTGGATCGAACGGTTATTTGATCGCTTTCAAACATAAAAGAAAATCACGTAGACAAAAAAGAACGTCGCGACGTTTACTTCTTAGGAGGATGTACTCTCAACAATTAAAATATGTGCTTGTGCTATTGCTTATTAATGCGGCATTATGTCAAAACATTAAGGAAGAAAAGAGTTTCACCACTGCTATCGCGAACATGGAGCGATTGCTAAGAACAGAGATTCAGCTTATAGCAGAGTTAGAAAACTTTGCCAATGAATTACAAACAAAACTGAGTATCATACGCAGGTATACTAGTCTGGATCTATGAGTTAAGAATAATAGTTTTAATATTTGTATTAGCGGTGCGGCTATGATGCGGCGGGAAAATCTTAAATCAAAAAGTGATCCAGAGAAATATTTATCGAATCCCTTAAATGCGTTTTCACTAATGCGTCGTATGCAAGCAGATTGGATTAGTTGGGAACTGTTTATGTCGAAATCCGTTGGTGAAGGTAAACATGTGTTGACCAAATATAAGAATGCTAAGATTGCTTACATTGTACGAAAAAAATAAATAAATTTTTTAGCTAATATAAAAGCTGTGCAGCAGTTGAGGGAAAATGTGCCTGACGCTAAAGATCTTTCCGAAGCAATATCTGCAATTTACCGCCTGCAAAGAACTTATGACTTAAAGGCATCCGAAATGGCAGCTGGTTACTTACATGGCAATCAATATGAGTAAGCTAATCTTATAAAGATATTTTAGCAGTAATGTTTCAAAATAAATATAAACTATTGTCAATTTGTGTGTCTTTAGGGCCAAACTATCATCACTCGATTGTTATACAATAGGAGTGGGGCTGTTTGATCGAGAGATGTACTATGATGCAGGGTTCTGGTTATATATCGCGCTAGAGTCATATGATCAAAATGATCTTTTTACTGCTATTGAATTTAATAAAGTGAAGATTTTAGAAATGTATGCGGAAACAATGCTGAAGCATAGTAAGAATGCATATGTTAATATATTTTTTGAAAGTACTTTTCATTCTATAACTTGAATTTTAGATAGACCAGAAGATGCTCTTTTAGTATTAGATAAGGCAATTGATTTATCTCCGCGAAGTGCAACACTTCTGAGTAAAAAAATTGATATTAAAGCAAAGATAAGAGTAGATAAGTCACCACCCAAAGTTGTAAGTTAATATTATTGCAAAGAAATAAATAAGTAATAAGTCTGAGCATATTTATCTAGTATTCGATTAAGGAACCATCTGATTATGAACGAGGATGCCGTGGAGAATACGACGATAAAATGCCTCAAATGTATTGTACTTTTAATACCACGACTACGCCATTTCTACGAATTGCACCTCTTAAAATGGAGATTGTGCAATTAGATCCCTACATGGTTATCTACCATGATGTGATATCTGACAAAGAAATAGCTATTCTCAAACATATGGCAATACCACAACTAAAAAGAGCTACAGTCTATAGTGAAAATTCTAGTAAAAGTGTTGTGGTTGACAGGCGAACTTCTCAATTCGCGTGGTTTTATGATAAAACAAATGATGTGACAATACGACTCAATGAGCGGATAACTGACATGACAGGTTTTAATTTGGTGGGATCGGAAATGTTGCAGGTGATGAATTACGGTCTCGGAGGTCATTATGATACACATTATGACTTTTTTAATGTTTCTGCGGTAAGTAATATGTTTTATTTCACCAAAGTTTCTTAATCTTTTCACAAGTTAGGATACCGAAATTATACGTACAACTGGAAATAGAATTGCAACTGTCCTATTTTACGTAATATATATAAAATTTTTTTATATGATAATATTAACAGTTATAAGTTTCATTAGTTAAGTGATGTTGAACAAGGAGGTGCAACGGTTTTTCCAAATATAGAAACATCTGTTTTACCAAGGAAAGGCATGGCAGTTATGTGGTATAATCTTAACAATAGAGGGGACGGAAATTGGTTGACATTGCATGCAGCTTGTCCTGTTATAGTTGGATCCAAATGGGGTGAGTTTGAACCGTTCATCGTTTGGTACAGATAACACATACTGAATATCTTGTACATATCTTAATTTAGTATGCAATAAGTGGATAAGGGAACGAAATCAACTATTTACAAAGCCCTGTGCCAGGGAGTAATATATGATCTAATGAAATGTTAAAAATGGAATGAAATATTAAAATCTGTTATAGACACTAATTATTAAAGCTAAAATAATATAATAATCTTGTTTAATTATTGGTTATATAATATTAAGTGTATTTTTAAACAATAGAAAATCTCTCCTATTGAAATTTGGGTCTACTTTGCTTAACTGCTCCATGAACATAAACATTTTTAGGTAACATTATAATATAGATTATAACAAGCATTATGAAAGTGGATGACTTATAATATATGCGTACATACATATATTGTAGATAAAAAGATTGGAGGTTTTAAGTTTAAATTAATTGAAGAAAGCAGATTGTGTTAAATGCAAGAAACAATGATAATAATTTAGACTAAGCCTGTCCTTAAATTTGCCTAAGATTTACATTAGAGTAGTTGCTTAAATATATTGTTTTAGGTTTTCTCTGATGATTGCAATCCAGCGTTTAATAAGTTGAAAATATCTTAAATTTATAATTATTTGAACTCTTAAACCTCTTCTTAGCACAATGACCCGAGCAAAGTCTGGCTTATAAGCTCGAACGAGTTTAGTTCTAACATTCTTTTAAAAGCTTTCTTCTATGGGTTAAAAGCTTAAATGTTTGAAAAAATCAAATATATTTTCATAGACAAAGGTTAATTTACTTATTGACGCTAGCCGGATGAGAGTGTCAGAGTTTTGCGTACGAAGTGTAGTGTATATCATGGAAATTTCTGTTAAACAATTCCATCATAATTTTGTGAATAAATTTTTCGGCATTTTACTTTTATTAATTATTTTAAACAATCATCCTTGTGCAAAATGCGAGTTTTACTCGTCGGTTCAAGAATTATCAAAATTATTCAAGTATGAGACATATTTTTTAACTAATATGGAGAAGTTTATCAAGGAAAACGAAAATAAATTGGTATTTTTGAAGACGTGAGTACTAAATCAAAAGATGAATATCATATAAACATTTAGTATATTTTTAATAAAATAGACGACTTATAGAAATGGAAACTGAACACGATGAAGCGCTTTCGATTGGATTAGAGTACTTTGAAAATCCCGTTAATAAATATCTGTTAACAAAGCGTCTTTTAGTAGATTGGGAGCGGGTGCAAAACTTAATTGAACATAAATCTGGAAAAAGTTTGTTTAAATGAACATATTGTTTATTTTACAATGCTATTATTTTAATTTTTAGAACATTTGGATAAAATCAAAAAAAGTATGCAAAAAGAGATGTTTCCTGATGAATCGGAATTGAGAGGAGCTATCGAAGGATTTTTACGTTTGCAAGACATATATCGGTTAAAGACTAACGATATGGCCTCTGGTGTACTGCAGGGTAGAGTGTATCCGTAAGCAATATTCTACTTTTATATTATTTCGATCAATCTAATTATATTTCTTGCTTATGATTTATTTAGTACTTATTTAGATGCGTCACTCTGTTTCGATATAGGTCAACAAGCCAGTAATATTAATAAACCAAAACTGGCACATTCTTGGTTTTTGAAAGCTTTGGACAAAAATGGTGATCCTAACAAAACTAATTTAACACTGCAGATTAAAATTCTTGATTCGCTGGCTCAAAGTAAAATTGTGTTGAGAGATTTTAGAGGTGCAAATCAAATATATATGAAATTGCTATTGCTAACACCGGATAATAAAGCATTTGTTAAGAAATATGCCAGCTTCCTAGAAAAATATAGGAAACAGATTATTTTAGAAGTGGACTTAATGGATGAACACGAGGTATAACATATTTTAAGCAAGTTTTAAGACCTTTAATGTTAATAACAAATTGCAGCCACTACCTGTTAATATGTACAATCTTAGTGAAGATGACGCCTATAAGTTAACTTGCAGTGGATATTTAAAACGTAGTGCTAGTGAAGAACGGTACTTAAGGTGCGGATATTTAACAGAGACACATCCCTTTTTAAATTTAGCACCAATTAAAGTTGAGGAACTAAACCATGATCCTTTGTTGGTACTTTATTATGATATAATATCCGATAATGAGATTGCGGTTATGAAGGAGTTGGTTCATAACAGAATTCAAAGAGCGACCATTATTGGACATAATGGCTCAGTTATATCTCCCGTTCGAACTAGTCAGTTTGTTTTCTTACCAAAATCTCAACATAGATTGTTGGAAACGATTGATAGACGCGTGGAAGATATGACGAATCTTAATATGCTTTATTCAGAAGATCATCAGTTTGCAAATTATGGTGTCGGTGGACACTATGCACAACATTATGATTGGTTTTACAATGCAGTAAGTTTCAAATATTGTATTAATATTTTTTAATCATTTTTATATTTAAAACTTTCATAGGATAAATCCTTAATAGCATCTCCAGAGATGGGAAACCGCATCGGAACAGTTTTGTTTTATGTAAAAGTGACAATATCATTTGTTTATAATAATATAACTGTGAATACTTTGTAGCTTAGTGATGTCGAACAAGGCGGAGGAACAGCGTTTCCGCACTTAAAGACGCTGCTGATGCCTAAAAAGGGAACAGCAGCATTTTGGTACAATTTACATGCTTCGGGTGATGGTGATATGCGTACTTTACATGGTGCTTGTCCTATAATTGTTGGATCCAAATGGGGTACATCTTAAAATATAAAATTTTGCTGACATTTTAAACACAGTTCTTTTATCTGTAGTTCAAAATCGATGGATCAGAGAATTCTATCAGGACGAACGACGACCATGTCTCATGTATAATGACAAAACGTAAATAAAGGTTTATTTATGTTATATGCATATTGCTTAATACTTATAGTTCTTCTAAGAAAACAACACAAGTTATTAGTTTAGAAGTCTCTTTATATGAGCCTTCAGATAAATGTAGATTTAATTATTATTTAATTTATATAAATACATTTAAGTTACAATTTGCTTAATTTTCTTAATGTTCCAGATAAAATATTTGTAAATAATGTATTTTAATATGACTTCTTATTTAACAAACATCTATTAATAAATCTGTGTTTTTATATAAACACCAACATTTTTACAACTAAACATCACACTTATATTTCTAAAAATTACACATTTAAAACAATTTTCATTTCATTTAATAGTAATAATTATTGTTCGAAAGGACACCGAGTGAGTTTTGCGTGTAAATACTTTTAAGTTTACTAAAATTTAATTTTTTAAATTCGCTTTAAAGTTTTGATTTCAGGTAAAATATATTTTGAGTGTTATTTTCTTCTTTATATTAGGAAAAGTCTGTGCTTTGTTGAGTCATTTCTTTCTCATTTGGTGGTTCTTTATCAGTTTGTAATTTGTCTTGTATAAAACAATGATTAAATTACTTTTCAAAGGGGATTGTCTTAAGGAGCACATCTAACATTAATATACGAGAGATTGTGTACTATATACGAGTATGTATACATGTTCCATGAATCTCATATTTAAACAATTTTAGTTTTTTTTAATATATGTATTTTTTCTTATAATATGCGTATGATAAAATTACAAAAAAGTTTTATTAAAAAATATTTTTCGTTTAGTGAAATTACAGTTTCTTAATTGTTTCTTAATTAGTTTTCTTCAATACTTAAAATAGTATCATATCGTAATTTATACGTGATATATATTTTTTGTTTAACATTTAAAATTAGTGCTTCACATAAAACACATACGTATGATAAAGGATAATATGCATATTTATATAATATTCGGAATGGATATGTCAACACACATTAAAATTTTGGTTTTGTCATTTTTTATAAGTTTTTGAATATAGTGCCGATCATTCTGATCTTTCAAAACAACATTAAGATTTCTACTTAAGAGTACAACATTGAAATTTTCTTATTTTGATTCTTAATGTTTTTAAAATGGTTTTTGTTTTTTTCTTTTGGTATGTTTAATTGAAGCTAGTTTGCTTATATCTCATAATTACGAAATTTATTGGCTACATCAGAATTTTCTGTGCCCCATTCTGTCTTGCGATTGCCATAATAAAGCGCAGCTCCACCTTCTGAAGCTCGACGATGAGCCGGATTCGGTGACGCAGCTGATAACCCTCCACTGCTTGCAGAGCTTGCAGTAGATCCACCAGTCTCTGGTAACATACGATCTTTGGTTTTTGGCGTCACCCAGTGCATAGACTAAGAAAACATATAACAAATTTATAAAAGATATTTAAAAAATTAGATCATTTATTTAAAAATTAAAAAAAATGTACGTGCAAATACTAATGGATGCAGAGGTAGGGCAGTGTTATAGACAGAGAAAGGTAAAACTAGAATTAAGAACTTTTTGGAGATTTATTTTCTTGTTACAAAATATTATTCCTTAGTGTGGGGAAAAATAATAAAAACCTTAAGTTATACGAAATCGCCTCTTACGCATATTAAAATTAATTACAATATAAGGCTTACTTTACAGATGAGTAATGAACATCAAAAGCGAATTTCCATAATTATGTGTGCCAAATGAAATATTTGGTTTGCATCGAGATAAACTTATATATTATCTGAGGTATGATATATAACGAATTATTTTTTAATAGAATATTTTTTTTAAAACATATGACACATATAAGAACGTACAAAACTAACTTTGAGTACTTTCAAATCATAAAACTACGTTAACTTTCGGATTTGAGGTAACACATAACTAAACAAAAACAGTAAATTCTGAGATTGTGCAGCATTTAATCAGATCCAAGGTACATATCAGGTGGTAAGCACTGTTTATTTATTTGTTAAGCCTCATACCTCTTTATCCACTTTTTCAGCAATTGTGTATCTTCTCACCTGACCCACATGTTCCTTCATACCCAACCAGTTTTTATAGCTCATAGCAATGCCACTATTCCGCCACTTGTCGTAGTTGGCGCGTCTTTCAGGATCGCAAAGCGTTTCTTTCGCTTCCTGTTCGGAGGAAATTAAAAGTAAATATAAAAATTTATAAAAATATCAAAATTAATGTGATAATTTTTTATGCCTATGCCTTAAATAAGCAAAACATAGACCGGTAAATAAATATTACTTATTCACTGCATAGTCTTAAGCAGTAAAGTAAATCGCTGAAATTAACTGAAGCAAAATGTGCTTGAAAATCCACAAAGCTATTTATAGACGAAAAGAAAGAAAAGGATGCTTTTGAACTTTTATAATGGAACATCATGATAAATATAGGTTAATCAATTTATTTATTCCTCATTGAATATTTGGGTCATTCAAGAGCATTCGAAACACAGTTATGGTTTATACTTACATAAAACATACAAACTACAAACACGAACTTATGAATATTCTCGCTATTGATTCATGGACTTAGTATCTTTTGTAAGCATTAGAAACAATTTTTTATTATTAGAAGTATATCTAAGTTTAACTAACTTTTGTCTATTGGCAGAAAGTTTCAATTTATACTTAAAGTAAAGGTAAGTAAATATAATAGTTAGGTATTTGTATATCCATGTTTGTAATATAAATTGTGTTGATTTGAATTTTTCGGAACACCATTGACGTGTTCAAATATGCAACAACTCATAATGAAGAAAGTCAATTTCAATATAATGCTATCTTTTCGTGTTAAAATAAGTTTTAATTTCCAATAGCAACAAGAAAAACGAATAAAATTTTCATGAAGTAACAAAAATTGTAAGTACCGCACCGAAGTATGGAATGAATGCACATATTAAATTACATGATGTTGATTTTCATTGAAATTAAAAATAAATGAAAATATGTAACAGCAAAAAGTCATCGCATAACAATAGAAGTAGCAATTTATGAACGTTTATGACACGTTTCAATGCAAAAACACTCAAGTGTTTGCATTTCCATTAATATTTGCAACTCGGTATGCATGTTATCTGGATCCTTTAGTCGTGTGTCAGTTCCTTTGCATTGCGCTGGCAATGTTCTTATTTTTGCGTTTTCATCTACATTTCTGTCTAAACAGTAGAAGCATGTAGGACACATATGAGGCCAATATCCAGCGATACTCATATAAAATCAAAACTCCAAGCATTTTTTTACCCTTCGATGGTATCTTCAGAAAATATTTGCGTGTTCAATTAAATGCAGCTTTCCATTTTGTGAGTAGAACGATTTTCATGTTTAGAGCTAAGCAAACCTATCATATCATTGGCTACATAAGCTAAAAATCGAATTCGATACATTGTTGAAAATACCTATATGTCATTCCAAGTAGTGTCCATCGGCAGTAATAATATTTTTTCATGACAAGCGGTTGACGGTTGAAGTCGACCTTGGATTAAAGTGAAAAATATTCCAGAGACAATATTTTGCAATGAGCTATGAAGGTGGTAATCGTAAGACGTGCTGGCTAAGATATAACTTGTATGCTTTTAGCGTAATACTTTTAACCGATGCAACAACATGCCGCTAATCATTTGATGTCTGATTACATATTCCAACCATTTGTTGGTTATGACACCAAATGAATTATTTGTTATTTGTACAACTCTCCCGTCATAGTATCATCAGATTTAAGCAACACATAAGGAATGGCATTCTTCTGATGCTAATAAATATAATGGATCTATTTGGCACCATGAATACATATGACAAGTTTGTCATTGATTTATCACTAGTAGGAATTTAATAATTTGTTGGCTTTTAAAAGAGCTTCAATAATTTTAGGTACTTAGAAATCACTCCTTATATAAAGTCGAATGATTTTGTATGCTTGCCGTAAACATAAATTTTGGTAGAATAATGTCTACGATTCTTCTTTCTTGATGTCAAAACATTTAATTTCGCTATGACACCTTCACAATATAGTTCTACTACCTATACGATAGTGACTATTGGCTGTAGTGTTCTAGGCAAAAAAGTAACCCAACAAAACGTCCCGCTAATACGATTTCTTTTCCAATTTTCATAATGTAATAGTAATCAATAATAAATATTTTGTACACAATTTTAAATAAAAAATTACGTTTATTTTTGTATTTGTGAAAGAAACAAATATCTTTGATATTCAGGTTCTATATCAATTATCTATCTCTTATTGTTTCAATATAAATTAATGAAATTCAGTCAAGTTGCAAATAAGTTTCAACTAAAGAAAAAGCTAAAATCAAAAGTAGAAAAGTTCCTTTATAAGCACTTACCTTAAGTTTTTGAAATTTCATTTCAGCATCCTTCTCACCGCTGTTCTTGTCTGGATGAAACTGCAACGCCAAAACCTTGTATTCCGCCTGAATTTGTTCAACCTGTGAATTAACAAAAACCAAATGAGCATTTGTCACTTTTTAATCATAAAAAACTCGTTAGCAAACACAAATCATTTTTTATTATTCAATGTAATATCCAGTTTTAGTAAAATTTCTATTTAAAGATGTTTTTTTTTAATTCAAGATTTAGGTTTTGAATAAATTTTCACAGAAACATGAAGACGTTCAAGACCCTGCAATATTTTCCATTGGAATCCATTGGAATAGTTTTTTTTTCATTGTATGACAATGTGAACGTACTTTATTTTATATTTTTTAATTAAATTTTGTTTAAGTACCTTAATTGGGGGAAGAACGTCTCAGTTTCCCAACTAAAATATTTGACATTTATTATTATTGAAATAGGTTTGTTTTTCAATATTAAGCTATTATAGTTTACAGAAAAGATTAATATAAAAAGTATTGATATAAAAAATTAGAAGAATCAGAAATGTATACAAAAAATCATAGTCACGTACTTGTTACAAAATAAATAATTAAATAAATAAATTATTCGAATTTATTTAGTAATTGTGGCATTTACATTTAATTGTCATAATATCTTTTGTAAACTATGAATAGTTATCATACCTATATAATATACAATA